CATATCCTGCACCAAGAAGGGGTCCAGAAATTCTGTTTGATTATTATCTCAACCAAAACCCAAATCCATGAACCGATAGAGGTATCTGGATTAGATATTCAGAAATCACGACATTGAAAAATATAATTCAAGAAATTAGAGGGCGCACTCACAGAATTCGGCACCATTGGTGTAGTCTAATTATTCAGTATTCGGGAGGTAGATCCTGAAAACGTCTTTCACTTTAAGTTTCTGCCTACAGGTGGGACATTTGTGCTGAATTTTAATTGCAACAGTAATACACTTTTTGCAGAAGATGTGGCCACACTTGGTTGACGTTTCTTCAACAACTATTTCCATGCAAATTGGGCAACTAAATATGGGTGGTTTTTGCTGTGGAACGGGCTGGGATAACTGAGGCATCACAATTTGATGAATTAATTGTGAGCAATAATGAATGAATCAAGGAAATGAACAGCATTGAGTCAGACAAAAACACATGTAGATGCCAAATAAAGGTTTAAATTTCCAGAGCTGGATATACCAATGAATTTGAGAATAAAAACTTTCCCACACAGCGTGAACAAGTGATCAATAAAAAATTATGAATTATATGAGCTCAAAAAGCTTAATGTTTTTGTTTATAAAACTGAAACATCTATACAAGATCAAACAATGTAATGCTATTGAACGTTATCCCATAAGAGAAAGAGAGCCCATAAAATATTATATGAGCTACAGACAATTAAGATGATAAATGGTTAGCAAAATAGCTTTCCAGGATACAGAATTGTCTCCGAAAGACGGAGAGCAAAGCTCAGGGACATGACAAAGCGGAGCATTATCAAAAAATGTTTCAACTTTATTAAAAATAGTTCAAATTCTAATATGTAAGTTCTTTGGGTTGGTAGGTTTATCACCGTTATTCTCAACCTCCAAATGCAGTATGGATGATATCAGTTCTACATATTCTAGGTGGAAAAACCTGTGACCATGACTTGGATAGAAAAAGTTCTTAAGCAAAATAATGAGAGGAAAAATTATAAGCAGCATTTAATGGAAATGGGAGGAAAATGAGTTTGGAAAGGTGGTGATATAGGGCAGAGAGAGATCTTCTCAGTAGCCAAACAACACAGTTTCCAATATTTGTTCTGAAGTTTAGAGATTGAAATCTAGCAATAGAAATCAAAGGGGGTGGGTAGGGAAGTGGGTTTAATGCTCGTGGCATTCTACAACTCAGGTCAGAGGTTTTCTTCAACATGCACAATCCTTCGGTAGTTTTTTCGATCTTTCACTCCCTTTTGAATTATAGGCCAAAAATATTCTGCACCTATCATGAAGAACTAATTCAAATGTACAAAAGAATTAACACTAACCCTTTTAAAACTCATTTAAAAAGGAAAAATATGTAATTTTTAAGAATCACTTATATAATCTAAGAAATAAAAATAAAAAAAACTAAAAGGATAGATGGGCTCTTGATCAATAAAATCTGGCAACACGAGCATTGGTAGTGAAGATATGATGAGATACGTCTAGAAGGTACAGAATGAAACATCCTTCACTTTGGGGGAAAGGAATAATTGGAGCAAATTAGGAAATCCAATATCACCTTCTAGTGAAGCCAATTTATGATTGAAATATTATGAGCTAAAAAAAAAAAAAAACTTGAACTCAAATAAAAATTGACAAGAAATGTAAAAAATTGCAATGACAGTCTATGAATAGGGTCATCCAATAGATCTAAATGTTGTCATACCTCCACCCCACCACTTCTTTGTTTTGCAGAAATTCTTGGGCGCTTGTTACCATTGCTAGGCCGCCTGGCTGTAGTATATGCAAAAGAAATTAACCTCCAATAGTTCACAACTACTACACCTGAGTAATGTGTATGATCTATGCGAGCAATTCAAAATAAATTGAATTGACACACTGGAGAAGGAATTGTTATTGATAGCCACATGATGTAATTTGGAAAGAATATATGACAATTAAATGTACAATAATTATTCGTATAACTATTTATAAACTTAAGTTATGCACATTGGCCATCAAATGGTCCAGTACTATAGTAAAGTAGGTACTTTTTTAAAGCATGTTTGTTCAAGAATTTACTGAAGATTGCCAGACTTATAAAATTGCAAGGTTTATTTGACTGAGAAAATCATCATGGGGAAATTGAAAAATCATGAAATTCTAGTTCAGGGCTATGTTAATAGAGTTTTTCAATCGACTTTCACATAATTCTCTATATGTGTTTTTGAGTAATAAAGCCTAAAATGACTGCATCAAATAGTTTGAAAGTTAGTCTGCTCTTTTTGTTTTATAAGTTTCTGGATAAGAAAGTTCAGTCAATGTAATCAAGAGAGGTTTGAATATTGCAGTGTTTTGCCACAACGTACGTCTAGACCTTCATGTGATGGGATTATGATATAAAATTCCACAAGAAACAATAAGTTTTTCATTTAAATAAGAGATAAAAGTACTTCTGTAAAATCTCTGAATTATATATTAATAAAAAGAGAATTTGGATAAAATAGCAGAAACCTGAGCTGCCTCTCGGGGATTCAGTTTCATTATCAACCAACTCTATTACCCTACGATTCCTGATGGAATTGTTGACAGCCTACAATAAAAATATGGATCAATAAACGACTTACAACTTTGCAACTTCATGAAAATATTGAAATCGAGTGTAGTTGAAACTCTTACCTCAGCGTAGCTCCTAGGAGAGAGAATTATTACATCATCATCATCGGGCTCATAAGATGTCCTAACTTGTGCATAAGGAAGTCCAAGACCCAACGTCGTATCAACATTCATGGAAGAATCCTCATCTTGTGGTGGACAATTGAGGTCCAAATTGAGTGCCATCTACATGACAAAGAAAGTAATTATGGGGATTACTTAGGACATGTGTGGTGATTTGGCAATAATAATGTGCAGTAATACATAAAATCTTTCAATTGATGGAACTCCTCTGAACACTTAAAACACATTTTGATGTATGTCACGTGGATATCAGCTTACAAAATCAAATATGTATAAGCCGAAAGGCGCATTTTGTAGTCCGAATAAACAACTGAATACTTAATTTTGCAAACCCTTCACCTTCTATGAATTCCAGCGCCTGTTTTGTTAAGCTAAAATCAGACTTTCAGTAATTTTTGAAGAAAACTGATGAAATGTGTAGAGTTGATAAACATTATAGGTCCTATGAGATGTGTGGTTGAAAATGAGGAAAATTGAGTTTTAGAAAATGGTGACAAACCATAGGCTTTGTGTTACATATTCAAAAGAAGAAGAAGAAAATCAACCAAGCAAATTTGATCAATGACTTTTCATCACATTAATGAATTTGACAAAAATGAAAAATCATGCCAATGTTTCCTCTTTAATACAAACAAACACCAAATCGAAATACTTTCAAATGTTCAAATAAAAATTGGTAATTACCTGAAAAGAATTTAGATGAATATGATCAATCACATGCATTATTGATAATTTAAGATCTCAAGATGAAGGGCTATTACTTCAACATATACAAATTGTTCTTGGATAATTATTCTAAAGACTCTTCACAGATAGGCACAAGAGTACAGGTTTCCGCAAATTGATACAGGTACAACCTGTAGCACAACACATTTTCATACCTCAAGAGTAATTTAATTTTGTAACTACAACATGATTATTAAATTTCCTACTCCGAAAAAATGGTAGGTTTTTTTGTAATTTTGGGGGACGGTACAAGGTCGATTATCAAATTAGGAAAACCTATTGCGACGTAAGTAATCTTATTGTTGTATTAATTGTATTGAGATATGTCAAAGACGTATAAATATAAAAATATCCAAACAAATTAAACGACAAATTTTTTTTTAAACTATGCCGCCTATCATTAATTGAACTTATATTTTCCACACCACGTGCAAGCATGCAATGAGTATCAAAGTGGAACTCTAAGTTCATCTTCACCAAATATCCATGCTACAAGTTCAAAGGTACTTCCCTTTTCAATGGACACGAATAAAATTCCAAGAATAACTTCATTAAGCTTCACCCACCCATCCACCCTCCTCTCAAAATAAAATAACAGAAAAAATTAATTTTAAAACATTTGTTGACGAATATGGTTTTATTTTGATAAATTCGACCTGATTTATAATTTCAATATAGAAATAGTTTATGCATTAAGCTTTAAAGTACACAATAAAATGGAATAATTACAAGAAGAAAGATATATTTATCCGAGTACTCCCTATCTTGGAAATCCGAAGGCATTAATATCTGAAACACTTCTACACATATTGCCATAACAACAAACAAATGCACACACACACACACACACACATGTCATGTCAGAAGAACCATGTGTATTTGTAATAATCAATGATGCTGATAAATCAATTTTAGATAAAAATAAAAATTTTAAAAATATATTTAAAACATTTATAGCACATTCTCACAAAAAATAATAATAATAAAATCGAAAGAAACAGTAAAATTCAACAAAAAATGGAACCCACTTTTTTTTCTTTTTTTTTTCTTGAAAGAAAGAACCCAACTTGAAAAATTCAAAAAAGTTTGACATAAAAAGAGAAAAAGAAGGGTAAAAGGCCATACCTTTTGATTTGCCCTAGTGAGGAAGAAAGACTGATGAATAATTTAGGAGAAACAAAAATTAATAGAAATATATATATATTTATGAGGGGAAATAAAGACAAATAAAACAAGGGATTTATATGTAATAAACTTTGAAAATTTTGTTTAGTTTGGCAAACAATTTAAGCAAAAGTAGTTTTTATCATTTTAACATAAAAAATATTTCTCTCATAATGGTTACTTTTAAATAAATGCAGCAATTTACATAATTAATCTTTTTTTCTTTTTTCTGGGAAGGGAATTCAAATCAAATGAGTTATTAGCCGTGATTCTATTTTTTTTATTATTCTTTTTATTTTTTTCTTCCTTATAATTTAAATTTGATTATTCCCTTTATTTAATTTTCCAATTCCTTGAGTACACATGTTAATCTATGTAATATTGGAACCCTCTAGAAACAAGAGAAAGAGTAAACAATTGAAATACATCGTGAGATCATCCGTGATCATAGTTTAAATAACGCACTCAATTGAAGAACGAGTAACTCGATAGTTTACGATTAATAAAGTGAAAAAAATCATTATAGTTAAAGTTATTTTTGAAAAAAAAAATTAAGAAACACCGTTGTCATCTTGACTTTATAAAGACTAGGCAAAGCTTAAATTATACTGGTCAAACATGCATTTAATATATGGATATAGTAGGATCTATAAATTATTATTCATTAATTATGGACACATTTCATGTGACTTAAGTTTTATAAACACTTAAAAGTATGACCAAACAAGTAGTAACCAAGTGTTTTTAGGGATGACAATGGTCGAGGCGACCATCTTGTCCCCATTCCGTCGAGAGCCACGGTAAGGTTAAGATGAAACTGGGATTAAAATATTCTTTCATTTATTTATTTTTATAATACTATGTGAATTTATAAATATGTTGATGTTTTTCTTAAAACAATTAAGTACAACAAAACACTAGTTGTTGATTGACAATAGATGTGTTTGACAGTATAACTATTACTATTTTTATTATTACTAGTTGCTCTTCACCTATATTGCAACTCAATACTCATGGTTCTGGCGCTACATTTGTTGAAACCTTTATGTTTTTCACTCCAAATGGCTTCACTGAAAAATTATTCTAGGCACTGGTGTTGTTTTTTATGTGTGCTGTTTCTGAAGCAAAAGAATTTGTGGTTGGTGGTGAAAACAATTAAGGGAAGTTCCATCTTGTGTTGACGAATTCAACAATTGGACAATGAGAACTCATTTCTAGATTGGTGATTCACTACGTATGTTTTTCTCCATTCGATTTCTTGTCCATTGCCTGTTTAAATTATTTTTTTCTTGTTTCCTTGCTTGGTCATGTAAGTAAATAAATAAATAATCTTTATTCCCCAGCACCTAATTCATGATGGGATGAGATTTCACATCGCTCCTTTTTTTATGAATAATACTGTCTAACACCTGTTTAATGACCACACTAAATATGTTTAATTAAATGGATCATATGACATTATATTTATGTGAATCTATCATATATATATCCACCTTGCATTGTCTTCGCATTCACTCCCTTCCACCTAAAAGAGATTTGTAGGGATGTCAAAATTTCTTTTCTCGATAGGTCGTGATTGCCCCTTCTCAAATGAGGTGGGAAATCCCAATCCCAAATTTCTAGAAATCGTCCTAAATATTTTTTACATTTTATGTTTCAAATATAAATAGTATTTAAAATTTTTATAAATAATATTAATAAATAAATAATTGAATAAATGGATGGTAAATAGAAAATTTTTAATCACCACCCTACATTACCATCCCTAGTGTCACAGGGATATTCAGCATTCCCTGCGATGGCGTCGAGATTTTCCATCCCCAACCAACCAATACACATTTTTATGCATTTTCGGTAATGAAAAGCATACGGATTTTAACTAAATATGCAGAATACTGAAGTAATTAAGGCAATACTGAAATTGCGGGAAGCCTCCCATCTTTATTTGTCATCAAAACAAATAAATGCGATTATTTCAAAGTCCTCAACACTTTGTTCGTAGACTCATGACTGATTTTTCGTGCACGAAAAATCCTCGACATCCTCATCCTACGTACTTGCAGTATCATTGCAACCCATTTTTCCCACTTTGGGTAGTCCCTTGCACGATGAGGCCCCTTGCAGATGAAGCAGGCATCAAAATTTTTCGCATGTCTCAGGTTGTTTTCATCATATCTCACTTTTGAAGACTGTTCTTCCCATATTTTTGTAGCTTTTGACCCACTTTCTATTGGTAACAATTCTGTTTCTGCCTTCATTTTGCTTCCTCAAAGAAGCATCACTGCCAACCTTAATTTGACCAAAGCTTCAGTTACAGAAACAACCATATGTAGATCCTTCATGCCATATGGATGTAATTCAGTTTGCGCCCACACTTGATTCCCATCATGAAGTTAAAGAGTTTGTTGTCCTCGCACATGGTTTTGATGTCCAACATCAAAGGACATAATTCCTTCATGTACCTTTGTACCATGTCTATTTGCCTTAGATTTCTCAAACGCTTCCCGTGCAATCCATGTTGCGTTGTAGGGAAGGAACCGATCCTTTAGTTCTTTTTGCAGCCTTTCCCAAGTCAGGAGTTTTTACCTTCCCTTCATCTCATCTTCATGCAATTGAGTTCTCTACCGTAATTTTGCATCTTTCGTCAGATACATACTTGCCATGTCCACTCAGTCTCTTCGGTAACATGTGCAGCCTTGAAATACTGCAACATGTTACAAAGAATTTTTCCAGATCCTTGGAACTCAGGGTACCGTGAAAACGCTTTTGGCTCTGGCAAATTAGTTTTCGAAGTCATCCCTCAATCTTTAGGTGCAGGAGTATCCCGTTTAATCAACACAATTTCACTTTTCAGCATTCCAAGGCATGAAGAAACATTTTCAGTTATGGCCACGACGTTCCCAGCATGGACGTAGATTCTGTCCCGTTTCCTCTGCCTTCTCTGCCAATATGGCAGCACATCGGACATCAGGTTACCCACAAAATTCTCGAACATCCCAACTTGATCTTTCAGATTTTAACTTGTAGCCTTTCCCTACAACTTACAAATATGTACTTGGTTCGTTTTCCCCGAACTGAACCTGGCTCTGATACCAGTTATAACTGGCCTATCTCGTGTTCCCTGCGATGGCGTCGAGGTTTTCAGTAACAATCCACACTTTTATGCAATTTCAGTAACAAAAGCACACTGATTTTGACCAAGAATGTAGAAT